CCACCCACACACCTGAAAATAAAGAAATTCAATTTAAAGGCATTGTACCACCATATGATTGCAAACTGTACCACACTATTGCCAATGATGAATAATCTTTGATACATCACAGAAACTTTATAACAGAGAGCAAATTCCAGAGACACAAAAGAATGGCACTTTTTCAACCAAAGCCAAACTTTAGGCCAAAGTCTCAGGTACAGGACTCCAACTTTTCAACATAAGCTGAACCATAAAATAGCCTCATAGGTTCAATGCCATATGTTCTAATAAAAATTAAACATTTCAACCTTGTGATCTTTGATCCCTGCTAAAGTTATATAAATATATTTATATATATATATATACATATATATATATATATATATATATATATATATTTATATATAAAATACATAATACATACATACATACAGACACCCACACACCCCACACCCACACCCACACACCCACACACACCATACAAGCATGCATGCATGCACAGACACACACACACACGTGCACATACATATGCATATATAAACATATATATATATATATATATATATATATATATATATATATATAATATATATATATATATATATATATTGGTGGAGGAGGAGGAGGAGGAGGAAGGGAGAAGGGGGAGGAGGAGGAGGAGGAGGATATATGTATATTATACACACAAGCACATAAACACACTTGACATACACAGGTGGAGAAAGAGAAGGAAAAGGAGGAGAGGGGGGAGGAAGAGGAAGAGGAGGGAAGAGGAGGGAGGGAGGAGGGAGGGAGAGGAGGGAGAGAGAAAGGAGGAGGGAGAGGGAGGAGGGAGGAGGAGGGGGGAAGGGGGAGAGGAAAAGAGGAGAAAGGAGAGGGAGGGGGGGAGGAGGAGGAGGAGGAGAATGTGTGTGCATGCACATGCACGCACACACACACACACACGCATACACACACACACACCACACACACACACACACACACACACACACACACACACACACACACACACACACACACACACACGCATGCACACACAAGTAAATATACAAACAAACAAGGGCAAATATGCACACACACACAAACACATACACACACACACACACACACATATGCATGCACTCACACACATGCAAATATACAAACAAACAAACAAGGGCAAGTATGCAGACAAACAAACAAACACACAAACATAAGCATGCACACCAAAACAGGTACCACAAACACAGAACCCCCCTAACAATAAAAAATAATAACAAATAAAACACAAGAAAAAAAAAAAAATAAAACACAGAAAAGAAAACAAAATTTTATATAAACGAATTTTTAAAACTTCCAACCGTGTCACTAACACTTCACATCATTATCGCTTACAACTCGCATCTTAAAAATTCCGCGTAACGAACTAACGAACTCCACCCCTCTTCCTCCCTCCCCTCCCCCACCTGCCCAAGGTCTTTCCCCCCCTCTCCCCATCTCTATCCCTCCTGCACTCCCCTCATCTATCTCCCCCCTCCTCCCCTGTCCCCCCAATCAATTCTCCTCCACTCTTCTTCATTCCCCCATCGTATCACTTCCCAGGAGCTTTTCTATCTCTCTCTCTACCCCTCCTTTCCTCCATTCATTTTTTTTCTTTTCTCATTTCTCCCTCCCCTTCCTCCCTCATCTCCATCACCCCCCCCCTTCAACCCCCTTCCGTTTCCTCTTGTCCCTCCTCTTGCTTCTTCCCCCCCCCCCCCCATCATTCCCAACCCAAGACCATAACCACTCACCGTTCTACGATGCAAACTATTTCAACAATGCGAAAGCGCGATTCGGTAAATTTATAATTGTTAAGGAAGGAGGAGGGGGGGAGGACGGGGAGAAAAAGAGAAAGAGAAAGTGAGTGAGTGTAGGTGTGAGAGAGAGAGAGAGAGAGAGAGAGAGAGAGAGAGAGAGAGAGAGAGAGAGAGAGAGAGAGAGAGAGAGAGAGAGAGAGAGAGAGAAGAGAGGGGGGGGGGGGGGCGCTGCGGGGAGAGAAGTAGAGAGGATGGGAGGGAGAGCAGGCCTAGGGGAGACACTAGGAAAGCAAAGATGAAAAGAAGTGGAGGAGGAGAGGGGGGTAAGGTAAAAGGGGGAAACAGACAGGCAGAAACAGATTTGGATGAGACTGACTCCTGACCAGACATTTATTGGAACAAAAGCAGTTTGGGAGCAAGACAGGTGTGCACAATTCCAAGTATGACCTTGGCAACCAAGGACTCAAAGGTGTTACTTACCCCACACACTCCCCCCCCCCCTTCTCCTCTCGCCCCGAACACCACCTCCCTCTTTCCCCACTCCCTAACTCCAGTACCTTCTTTCCCCTCTCCCCTCCTCTCATTTTCCCCAACATTTCATCCTTTTTTGCCTCCATACTTAACAAGCATTCCCCCCCCCCCCCCTTACAATTCGTCCCCTTCTCCCCTTTCCTCCAACACTAATCAACTCCTCTCCCTTCTCCTTCAATACCCAACGCCTCCTCCCCAAATATCCAACAACCCCCCACTCCTCTCCCAACACCCTACTCCCTCTCTCCTCTCACCCAACCCCAATATCTCCACCCCCTCTCCTCTCCCGCCCGCCCCCCCACTCCACATTCTCCAACCGCCCACCTAATCCACATCCCTCTCCCTCTAACGTATCTCCTCTCCCTAACATTCAACGCCTTCTTCCCCTCCCCCCCCCCCCCTAACACTCAACGCCTTCTTCCCCTCCCCTTCCCCCCAACAACACTCAACGCCTTCTGTCCCTCTCCCCAAACACTCAATGCCTTTTTCCCCTCTCCCCTTCCCAAATACTCAACGCCTTCTTCCCCTCTCCCCTCCCCCCCCAACACTCAACGCCTTCTCCCCACTCTCCCCACTCAAACCCTTCCCTTTCTCAACGCCTTTCTCCCCCTCTCCCCTCCCCCCAAACACACTCAACGCCTTCTCCCCCTCTCCCTCAACCCCAACAATTCCCCCCGCCCTTGCCCCGCACAAGTTGCTGACAAGTATTTGGCGTAAATCTGTTAAAAGACAATTGGCATTGCATAATCAATTTGCCTTCTTATGGAATACGTTTGAGCGTCAGATGCGCTTTGCCTTCCTTATNAGAGAGAGAGACGGAGAGAGAGAGAGGAGAGAGAGAAAGAAAGAAGGAAGAGAGAGACCACGAGAGCAGAGAAAGAAGAAGAGAGAGAGAGGAGAGAGAGAGTGAGAGACGACGAGGAGAGCAGAGAGAGAGAGAGAGAGAGCAGAGAGAAGAAAGAGAGCAGAGCAGAGGGAGCGAAGAGAGAGAGAGAGAGAGAGAGAGAGGAGAGAAGAGAGAGGAGCGAGAAAGAGAGAGAGGAGAAAAGAGAGGAGAGAGAGAGAGAGAGAAGAGAGAGAGAGAAGAAAGAGAGAGAGAGAGAGAGAAGAGAGAGAGAGAGAGAAGAGAGAGAGAGAGAGAAGAGAGAGAGAAGAAGAGAAGAGAAGAGAGAGACGAGAAGAAGAGTGAGGAGAGGGAGAAGGGAAAGAAGAGAGGAGAGAGAGAAGGAGAGGAGAGAGAGATAGGAGGGAAAAGAGAGAAGGAGAAGGGAGAGAAGAAGAGAGAGAGAGAGAAGAGAGAAGAGACGGACGAGAAGAGGGAGAAGAAAGGAGAAGGAGAAGGAGGATAGAGGAGAAGGAGAAGGAGAAGAGAGCAGAGAGGAGAGGAGAGAGAGAGAGAGAGAGAGAGAGAGAGAGAGAGGAGAGAGAGAAGAGAGAGATGAGAGAGAGAGAGGAGAGAGAGAAGAGAGAGAGAGAGGAGAGCGAGAGAGAAGAGAGAGAAAGAAAGAAGAGAGAGAGAGAGGAGAGAGGAGAGAGAGAGAGAGAGAAGACGAAAGGAGAAGAGAGAAGAAGAAGAAGAGAGAGAGGAGAAGAGAGGAGAGAGAGAAGAAAGAGAGAGAGAGAGAGAGAGAGAGAGAGAAGAGAGAGAGAGAGAAGAGAGCGAGAGAGCAGGGAAGAGAGAGAGAACGAGAGAGGAGGAGAGAGAGACAGAGAGGAGAGAGAGAGGAGAGTGAGAGAGAGAAGGCGAGAGAGAGAGAGAGCAGGAGAGAGGAGACTAGAGAGAAGGAGAGAAGAGAGAAGAGAGAGAGAGAGAGAAGAGAGTAGAGAGAAGACGAGAGGAGATAGGGAGAGAGAGAAGGAGATGACGAGAGAGAGAGAGAGAGAGAGAGGAAGACAGAGGAGAGAGAAGGATCGAGAGAGAGATAGGAGACGACCGAGAGTAGGAGAGAGAGAAAGAAAAGGAAGGCCAAAGGCAGTGGGAAAGGAGGAAAACCCAAGACAGACAGACATGACAGACATAGTAGAAAGACAAAAAGATACAAGAAAAGCTCGCTATGATAAGTATCACCCAATTATCACCATTAATTTATTCACACGAAGGCAATCACAGACAGACGATTAAAAAGAGAAGAGAAGGACAGAGAGAGAGAGAAAAACAACAAAACAAAAACAAAGAAAGAGAAGGAGAGAGAGAACAAGAAAAACAAACAAAGAAAGAAAGAGAAGAGAGAGAGAAACAAGAACAAAACAAAACAAAGAGAAGAAAGAGAAGGAAGAGAGAGAACAAGAACAAAAACTAACAAAGAGAAGAAGAGAAGGAGAGAGGGAGAACAAGAACAAAAACAAAACAAAGAGAAGAAGAGAAGGAGAGAGAGAACAAGAACAAAAACAAACAAAGAGAAGAAAGAAGGAGAGAGAGAACAAGAACAAAAACTAACAAAGAGAAGGAGAGAGAGAACAAGAACAAAAACAAAAAAAGAGAAGAAAGAGAAGGAGCGAGAGAACAAGAACAAAAACAAACAAAGAGAAGAAAGAGAAGGAGAGAGAGAAACAAAAACAAAACAAAGAGAAGGAGAGAGAAACAAGAACAAAACAAAAAAGAGAAGAAAGAGAAGGAGAGAGAGAACAAGAACAAAAACAAAGAGAAGGAGAGAGAGAACAAGAACAAAAACAAAAAAAAGAGAAGAAGAAAAAAGCGAATGGGAAATG